AAAGCCCCCCCCATGTCCTAATCTTGTATTGTTTGAAATTGACTGTGCAGATAAATCATCTGGAGCCTTGTCAAAATGCAAATTCCAATTTCTCCCAAATTCCCAGGAGAGGCCAGTGTGCTGGTATGTGGACTGGCCCCGATAGCAAGACCCCAGCCCATACCCCTCCTTTTCTAGGTGAGCCCCAGACCTGGGGGTGCTGGTGAGTGGTCCTCCCTCCCTCCATCCCCCCTTGCAGCATCTGCTCCCCAGTTGGGAGGCCTCCTGGCACTGTTGAGAGGTTCCTGGGGAGCGGGGAGGAGCGCACTCTCCCAGAAGGTGTCAGAAGAGCCATCTCAGCAGTGAACTTCAAAGCCTTTGCAGCTGCATCTCAGCCGAGGCAGGAAGGCCTCCAGGAACCTCCTGGCCTGGAAACTGTGTGTGTTACATGTTCTGTGTAGCTCTTTCCTTCCTTGGACCCATGGGGATGCTAACATGTGCTCCGAAATTGAGTTGACAGAGCTCGGCTTCACACCATGCCTGGAGCTGGGACTCAGGGCGACATGGGAGGGAAGGTAAATGTGCGAGCCACAAGGAGGGGAGGAGGGTGCTGTCCCAGAAGCCCACAGGTTTCCCCGGATCCGGAGGAGCATCTCAGACTGGTCTTCAGGCAGTCGCGTCCCAAGCACCTTCTCCTCCCTGTTCTTTGGGAAGAGTCCCTTGCTGCCTTTTCTCGGCCCATACGTGCGCTCCAAGATGACATTCTCGCGCGTCTGTAGCTCAGCCCTGCCTCTGTTTTTCTGTTAGGTATTCTCAGGAAATCTCTCTTCCCTGTTCCCTCTCTCCAAAGGCCACCAACGTCCAGGCTGCATGCGTTTCCTCTGCAGCCTGCCTGCTGGGGCAGTACAGCATGGCAATGCAGAACAAGGCTTGGTCCCCAAACCACAGCCTTGGCCAAACCTGAACTGTGGGTACATTGAGTGTTGTGGGAACATGGCCGCACCCATTTGTTCAGGCGTTGTCCAGGGCTGCCTTTGAGTGGCAGGGGGACTACTGACCATCCTGACAGAGCCATCCCTGCACTGGCCGCAGGATGAGAGCCTGACACCTCCACCCAGGGAACCCCACTGGAGCCCCTCCGATTCCGAGACCTCTGCGAGGCTTGCAAAGCCTGAAGTATTTACCCTCTGGCCCTCTGCAGGAAATGTTGGCCCTTCCCTGGCTTAGGGTCGGGCCTCCTGGCTCTGTTCTTGGGCAAGTAGCTTGCACCATTGTGCCTCGGTTTCCCTCTGGAGTACGGTAAGAGAATTAAGTGAGCGAATGCACCTGAGTGCTTGGAGTGGCACCTGAAGTGATATGGCATCCAGTGTGAAAGCGCTGATGGGGGCGCAGGGCATCGTGAGCGTGGAGCAGAAAGGAGTTTTCTTTTGTTGGTTGGTTTTGTTTTTTTCAATTGGGATCTCCCTGTGCCACCCCAGGCTGAAGTGTAGTGGCATGATCATAGCTACCACAGCCTCTATCTGCTGGGCTCAGGCGATCCTTCTGCCTCAGTCTCCATAGAGGCTGGGGCCATAGGCATGTGCCACCATGCCTAATGAGTTTTTTAATTTTTTATAGAGATGAGGTCTCGCTATGTTGCCTAAGCTGGGCTTGAACTCCTGGGCTCAAGAAATTCTCCCACCTCGGTCTGCCAAAGTGCTGGGATTACAGGGGTGAGCCCCGACAGCAGGCCAGAAAGGAGTTATGTCCTAAGCTGCTGAGCATCCTGTAGGAGAGTAGGAGAGGAAGGCCCTGCCACCACATTCTCCATCATCTAGATAATAGCTGCATTTACTTAACACGTGGGGAGTTGACTCTTAAGGGGTGCAAGGGTCTAGCACCAGGCCATCAGGGGAAATGCATGGACTACGTTGCCCTTGAGGATCCCTTAGAGGTCATAAGAGTTCGTACAGGCAGCTCTGTGTCCTCTTCCATCTCTCAGTGACGGGGCCAGGACCAAGGCGAGGTAAACAGGGCATCTGGTACAGCATACCTCAGGAGCCTTGTGCTCAGATCGTGTGCCAGAGGGCGAGGCCCCCTTCAGTGCCATCCCTGGGCCCTCACTCTCCTGAGCCCTCGCTCCTGAGGCCAGCTCCACCTCCAGTCTTGGAACAGAAGGCAGTCTCTCCAGTGACTACCAGGTGACATGGTTGGCTTCATGTTGAATGAAACACACACCCAAGGGAGGTCTGGCTGCTTGTATAGAGGTGATGCCCGGGAAACAGTGGGCCCTGCTGTGGTATGTGCCTGAGCCCACATTGGAGCTCAGCCCCTGTCACTGCATGTCATCCTCATGGCAGGTCTGCGATGAAGGTATCATGGGTGCCGGCTTAGCAGAGCTGGAAACAGGTGCTCAGCGAGGTTAGGTGACTCGCCCAAGGTCCCATCGGGAATAAGTATTGCAGTTCTGGGAGTGGAACCAGTCTGCCTGTGGTTAGGGCCCAGGCCCATCACCATACATGAGTGACTGTGATACAGCCACAGAAATGGCCGGTGCCCAGAGAAATGGCCAGTGCCCAGAGGAGGGTTGACCCTGGGACAGAGTTGAGCTGCATGCAGCAGAAACTGGACCTTAGGGGCTTAGACCATGGTTGCTGTTTTCTTCCTTGTGAGCAAAGCATTTGGAGACTGGCAGCTGGTGGGACAGGCAGATGACACCACCAGGAGCCCAGATTCTTCTTCTTCCACTGGGTCAGCTTTGGTGTGTGGCTTTCTTCATTATTCTCAGGAGATGGGTTTTCTGCTCCCAAACACCCCACTTCCATTCCAGTCAGGAGGCAGGTGGAAGAGTGAAGGGCAAAGGTCCCGTGTCCACAGTCTGTCCTCCTCAGAAGCTCCACCCTGCAGACTTCCAGCAAGGCCATCCCTAGTTGCAAGGGCCCCTGGCAATGTGACTGTCTTCATAGGCTGCGCTGCTGCCTCAGCAGAATGAGTTGGTGGGCGTCTACTGGATAGGCCGAGAGAACTGTCTCCAGAGCTAGATAGGTGGCAGCATGAGAGGACTTGGGAGAATGGCCTTGGGATTGGGAGGACAGGTTTGGCTGCTCTAACAGGGTGACCAAGGTGGGAGAACTCAGGGGACGAGGAGGGTCAAGAAAAAAGTCACAAATAACGTAAATCCTATTCACATTGGCTTAAACAAAAAAGAGAGGGTTTCAATGAGGCTTGCTTCAGGTGTGGCTGGAATCAGGGGTTCTGAACAAACCCATCAGGACTCTGCTGCAGTCTCCCAACTCTTGGTTCTCTCTGTGTTTGGGGCAGGCTGGCTCCTAGCAGGTCCTGGCAGATTTCCTTTTAGCATCTCTGCAGGAAGTTAGCACCTTCTCCCTACAGCTTTAACTACAATCCCAGAGATGTTCTCATTGGCTGCCCTGGTTGGTTCCCATCCCTATACCAGTGGGCCAGGGTACGTTGTGAGGGGTGGAGTGGGCCAACTGGCCTGGCCTGCCTCATGTCTCCATCTCTGGGCCACAGGTAGACTGAGAGTAGGGAGGGAAACGGGCCCCAGAAGAAAGCATGAATGGTGTTTCCTGAAGGACAGAGTCTGGGTGCTAGACAGACAGAGCTGCAGGTTTCAGGGCCTAGAAGCAGTTCTGCTTGGCTTCGTTGCCAGGCGTGTGATTGTGTGCACAGGAATCAATCAGGAAGATCGATTGTGGCCGATTGTAGGAACTTTGTGTGGCAGGTGTATCAGTGGAAGCACAGGTTTGGCTGCGCCGACAGGGAGGCCCAGATGACAGGCTTGAATAACATGAAAGTCGATGTCTCTGACACAGCACTGCTGAGGTGACAGTGGTCACCTCTCCTCCAAGGGGCAGCAAGGAACTCAAGCACTAACGTTCTTGTTGCCTTGCCATCCTCCACATGGTGGCTTGCTCCCCGCGGTTCCAGGCACCTCACCTCACCTCACATTCCAGCTGGCAGGAGAAGCAGAGAGACTGGCCCTTTCCCTTTCTGGGCACATCTGGGAGATGTAGCACACATCCCTTCTCCCTCCCACACCTCATTAGCCAGACGTGCTCATGAGGTCCCTCCCAGCTATAGGGGAGGTTGGGATGCCATGCACGCATCTGCAAACGCCATGCAGGAGAAAAAGAAAGCAAACCCAGGGATAGCCCGCAGTCTACCACTCCAGGGCGGGAAGTTTGTTTCCCAAAGAATGGCCCTAGAAAGCTAGAAGGAAGAGAAGCCCACCACACAAAGTTTCCATGGTCCAAAAAGTTCGGGAGGTGTTCTGTGCTGTTTTGCATTTAGGGTATCCACAATGTGTGCATGTGCATGCGTGCTCGTGTGTGTGTATGTATGTGTGTGTATTTGTGTGTTGGCCCGGGTTTCCCAGATGAGTCTGATCACAGAGGCCTTTTTGAGAAGTTTAACACCTACTAAAAGTCACTAATAAAGATTGTCAAACCAAAACGTTATCTTAAAAACACTCTCTGTAATCCTGTAATCCTGCGCCTTTGGGAGGCTGAGGTGAGTGGATTGCCTGAGCCCGCGGGTTCGAGACCCGCCTGGGCAGCGAGACCTCATCTCTACCATAAATCAAAAAATCAGCCGGGCGTGGTAGTGCATGCCTGTAGTTCCGGCTACTCGGAAGGCTGAGGCGAAAGAATCACCGGAGCCCAGCAGGCAAGGCTGCGGTGGCCGGAAGCGGCCACTGCACTCCAGTCTGGGCGACCGAGTGAGACTCCAACTCAAAAAAAAAAACCAAAACACTCTCGAGCACACTTTGGGCAGTAGGAAGCAGCACAGGCTTTTGCAGGGTTGGTGAGACCTGTCGGGTACTGGCCTGTGCAGGACAGAGGCTGCTAGACCAACGCGTCACACCACAGCTGCTGTGGCTGGCAGGCAGGCAGGCGTAGCACCCATGGGACCTAGGCCCTCGGATCCCGGGCTCCATCCCCGGGCTCCAGTCCTTGCCCCACAGAGAAGAAAGACATTCCTTCCACCATGTCTGAAACAGTCTGAATTTTTGTGTGTAGAAATCTGTGCAGATCAGAACGGAAGCCGGCTCGCGGCTCCACATCCAGCCTCCCCTGGACTCTTCTGAAGATACTGAGCCGTGTGGGGGCATGGCCATCAAGGCACAGGAGGCATCTGAGGACCGCCCACAGGTAGGGACTGGCGTTGGCCTCGTGCTTAGGCTCCTGGAGACCAGCGAGGCTTGGTGGCCAGTGGCCCTGGGGGCACCCTCGGACAGTTATTTATTGTCGTCCCGTCGCCCCACGTTTGTTTGCCCTCACGTTCATGTCAGACACTTTGATGAGTACACAGGCCATGACTTGAGGCTGGTGTCCAGAGGTGGGGAGGGCTGGTTTCTGACCTGAAAGAGTCACCGCCTACAGTCCCTTCACAGCTTCATAGCCAGAGTGCCAGAGAGGCAGGGGTGGGGCGGGGCACAGAGAAGGGAGAGTGACCTGGAGGGCTTCCTGGAGGGAGTGACATTTGCCTGGGTCCTAGAAGCTAGCTAAGTGCTTGAGGGGCAAGGAGGTGAGGGCAGACAGGGGGAGCTGGCACTCAGCTTCCCTCAAGTGTGTACATGCACCTTAAATATTTTGGAAAGAATCAATATTTGGAAGCAGAGGCCACGTGTGTAACAACCCAGAGGCCTGGAGCCTTGGAGTCCGTGCGGCAGCTGATAAGGTTGATGACGGCCTTTTACTCTCCTTCCTCTTATTGCCACTTCGTTTCTGAAACCCTTTGGACTGCAGAAGTATATCCCAGTCTCTCCTTCAGCAAGCATTTGCTGAGCACCAGAGATCCAGAAATGAACCAAACTGAACAGGTGCCTCTCTTAAGCACCCTGTGTTCCAAAGGGGAGACAGACAATAAAGAACAAAAACCAAGAAGTAAGCAATGGAATGACTTCAGGTATCAGAAAGTTTTCTGTAGAAACCAAGAGGGTGTGGGCATGGTGGCTCACACTTTAATCTCAGCCCTTTGGGAGGCCAAGGCGGGAGGATCGCCTGAGGATGTAGTGAGCCGTGATCATGCCACTGCATTCCAGTCTGAGTGACAGAGTGAGACCTCAACTCAAAAAAAAAAAAAAAAAAAAAAAAGATAAAACAGAAGAGGGAGATGGGACAGCAAGATGGTGTGAGAGGGAAGGTGGCATTAGGTAGGGTAGAGAGGGAAGGAATGCTGTTTGGCTTCAACCTGATGGATTAGACGGAGCGGCTTGGCAGGGAGCGATGAGAAAGGCATTCCGGGCAGAGGGAGCAGCAAGTGCCATGGCATGAGGCCGGGCTCTTTCAAGGTGTGGGAGGCGGGCACGGTGTGATTCGGGGGAATGCAGGACAGGGTGAGATTGAAGGGGAGCCGGGATGGGGTGGGGCTTCTTCTCAGGGCGTTACTGCGATAAACAGAATGAGAGGTCATCCCCATGGTCGTGTATGAGCCAAGTATCAGGAGGTGGGAGGGCAAAGCCAAGCTACTAAGCTAGACCCTGCCCCGTTTGCCAGAGCGACGTTTGTTCATTTGCAGGACTGGCTGCAGATTTGATAACCTCACCACAAGGCAGAGTCTTGCTTCTGTGTGTTGCTTTCATAAAATAAAAATGACACGTAGCAGGTGGGAATGCTGTCTGGGAAACATTCCTCTCATTTTTTCTTTTCTTTTCTTTTTTTTTTTTTTGAGTTGGGGGTTGCACTGTATTCCCCAGGCTGGTGTGCAGTGACATGATCACAGCTCACCACAGCCTTAACCCCTGGGCTCAGGACATCCGTCCACATCAGCTCTCCGAGCAGCTGGGACTACAGGGCGTGTGCCACCACACCAGGCTAATTTTTTAATTTTTTTGTGGAGGCGAGGTCTTGCTATGTGGCCCAGGCTGGTGTTGAACTCCTGGCCTCAAGTGATCCTCCCACCTCTGCCTCCCAAAATACTGGGATGACAGGTGTGAGCCACTGTGCCCGGCCTCCTCCGATTTTTTTTTTGTATGGGTGCTGCTGTTTCCTTATTTGCTCATAGAGGAAGGACAAGTGAGGGGCAAGAGGCGCTTTGTTTCACACCCTGGTTGCAAAGTAAATTGGACATTTTTGTCTTCCTGGAAAAGAAAATAAACGCCCTTTTCTGTGGAATGACCCAATGACCTTGTTTCCCTACCCAGTACGTAGAAGTGAGATTGAACAGCAGGCAAAACTGTGCACTTCATCACCTTTAAAACACACACACACACACACACACACACACACAAACACACACACACACACACACTTTGCTTTGGAATCATCCAGACAGCCCTCTGCTCGGGATCAGTCCATGCCAAAGAGCCATCATTGTCTCCTGATTTGGGGGTCTGGTTTTTAGCAGGGTGCGGTTCGTTAGAACCCCAGCCCGGCCCCATCACAGGATGTGTGTGTGCCCTTCGAGCAAGAGGCCCTGGTCATTGCGTTTGGTCTAGCATTAGGCAACTCTCCCTAAATGAACACCCGGTCCTTCCTCTGCGAGCTCCCCAGCTCCCTGCAACACAGTGGCAGAGCCCTCCTAGGCTATTAAGTCCCATTAGCATTCCTCCGTGCACGTGCTCTGAATTGGCATGGCTGCTGCTCCGCCAGCCCTTAATTTCTTCCACTCTCAGTGCTTGATTGTATTTCTTTCCTCTTTTTTCCCCATCTTGAGGGGGCACTCCATAAGGCTTCACAGTCAATTTCCCCTTGGAGTTATTTTCCTGCAAAGCGAGAGAGTAAAATGGCAGTGCCAGTTTTCGGCAAAGGCAGAAGCCTTAAGAGATGCAATCTGAACAGGGAAAGGAAAAAAAAAAAGGAAAGAATAAAGCACGTGGCTGAATATACTCAGCCAGCCCGCACTGTTTGCAAGTGCAGCCTGAAATGGAGCAAAAGGAACTGTGTGTCCACGTGTGTACTTTTCATCTGACCTTCACTGTTGCAACACACCAGCCTTTTGCCTTCAATCACATCCTCGGTGAACTTCAATTTCTTGGCGGCTCTGAGTTCACAGGCCGGCATGCTTGCAGACATGTTCTGTTGGCCTCCACCTCGTAGACTTGCACAGTGCTTTTAAAAGACATAAAGTACTAGTTGACATTTGAGTCACAAGAGTCCATGTGGAAATCTGAATCAGGGGCTTCTCTTAAAATAAGATTTGCAACCGGGCTCGGTGGCTCAGCCTGTAATCCCACGCCTTTGGGAGGCTGAGGTGAGTGGATTGCCTGAGGCTGCAGGTTCGAGACTCGCCTGGGCAACTTAGCGAGACCGCATCTCTACCATAAATCAAAAAATAAGCCGGGCGTGATAGCGCATGCCTGTAGTTCCAGCTACTTGGAAGGCTGAGGTGGAAGGATCGCCGGAGCCCAGCAGGTCGAGGCTGCGGTGGCCGGGAGCGGCCACTGCACTCCAGTCTGGGCGACAGAGTGAGACTTCAACTCAAAAAAAAAATAAGGTTTGCGGTCCACATTCTCACACACTGACTGGAGCTGAGGAGCAGCTGTCGCCTTAAGCAGGTGTGTGTACTCCAATGTCCCAAAGCCTTGATACCATTCTAGGCACTGAAGACAAAGCAGAAGATACACAGGTGGATAATATGTCAGGAGGTGACAGAGCTGATAAAAAGACAAACTAGAGGCAGGGGACAGAGACAGATGGATGGGGCTGCTGTTTTATATGGGAGGTCAGGGGCTTCCCCTTGATGAGGTGATATTTCAGTGGAGACTTCAAGGAAGTGAGGGAGGAAGCCTTGTGGAAAAGAGCATTCTAGGCACAGAGAGCAGCAGGTGCAAAGGCCCTGAGGTAGGAAGCCAGCAAGGGGCCACTGGGGCTGGAGTGGTGAGGGGGTGAGGAAGAGGAGGTAAGGTCAGCGAAGCAGCCACGGATCAGGCTGCACAGGGCTGGAGGGCTGCGGTGAAGATGCAGGACTCTCCCTGAATCAGATGGGAAGCCGTTATAGGGTCATGAGCAGTTTCACCACCCTGTAATGCCCAGTAAAAGAAGGGCACCTCTTTCCAGAGAGTTCTACCAAAAGCCCTGTCTTAGTCGTGTTGACTTTCCTTGATACACGGCTTGTGTTGCAGTATATAATAGGTCTTCACTTAAATGATATCAGCTCCATTGAAGTATCAGGAGTGAAATATAATGTGCATTTTTCAAATGGATGTCTTATTTTCTCGATAATGCATGATCAATATAAAAATTCAAGTTATACAAAGAAAATAAAAGTACTTTCATATTCCCACTGCCCCAGAAATAATGATTGTGAGTAGGTGGTTAGATAACCAGCCAAACTAAAAATGGCATATCTCATTGTATCCAAGAGGAGATCATTGACCTGGAATGTCCTGGTCCTGTCTCATTCCCAATGAGTGATATTTCCCAAGTTTAGTTAGTTACCTTAGAAGTCCTTGAGAGAGTGATTGATGACAGGAAGACTTAACCACTTGACATCTTCTGGAAATACCTTCTGAGTTTTTCTTTCCATGAGGTGAGTCCCAAGTGGAGTGAATTGGGTATTTCCCCACAATTACCATTTGGTGTCTTAAAGCTGTCGTTGTTGCTGACACGTAAACAAATGAAGTTCATCATCCTTGGCCAAGCACCCCCAGTGGAATGGCCTGCCCTCACCCCCTCCCTAGCAAGGCTCTGCAGTAAATCCCTTCAGTAAAGTCCAGTGGTGAGACTGAAAAAATGAGGGATGGCTTTTAAGGCAGTTCCATTGTTTGGGTGCATCTGCTGTTTGGATCTATTATATAAATAGCCTTTGAGTAGGTGCCTTTAAAAAAAATTGTTATTAGCTGGGCTTGGTGGCTCAGCCTGTAATCCCGCACCTTGGGAGGCTGAGATGAGTGGATTGCCTGAGCCCGCGGGTTCGAGACCCGCCTGGGCAACTTGGCGAGACCTCATCTCTACAATAAATCAAAAATTAGCTGGGCATCGTAGTGCGTGCCTGTAGTTCCAGCTACTTGGAAGGCTGAGGCAGAAGGATCGCCGGAGCCCAGCAGGTCGAGGCTGCCGTAGCCGGGAGCGGCCACTGCACTCCAGTCTGGGCGACCGAGTGAGACTCCAACTCAAAAAAAAAATAAAATTTTGTTATTTTTGCCTCAACATAAGCAAGATTATGCAATTTACACTATTTGATAATCCTACTTTTTTTACTCAACAGC